TTGCGTTCGAACCCTTCTGAAAATCGCTGCGCCACCCGAGCCATTCTCGGAAATGACCTTTGCGAACGACCTGTCGATGGTACCTTGCTTGGCGGCGCCGTCTTCGCGGCGCAAGACCACGGCAGCGATGCAGCAGCGAGGCCGTGGCAAGTCGACGAGCGCGCTGTACGAAGCCCGAGACACCACCCGTGTCCAGCGCGCACGGTCCTGCTATCTTCCAAGCGCCCGAGCCTTTGACGTCGCGTGCCACTACAACGCCCAAGACCACTCGGTGGTTCTCGCGCACGGTGCCACGTATGGCATTCTATCGCGGGGGGTGTCACGCAGCTCCCTTGCGTGCGTGGCTTCTATCTACTGGATACAAGCACGCTCATGGTTGAAGCGCAGGTTTGCCCGGGTTCTCGTTCAAGCGCTCGAAAGTGCCTGCGGTGCGCTTGCCTCAAGCGCCCTTGTCATCGACGAGGCGACTGTCACGAATGTTGTCGGCGTCGCGATCACGACAGGTGCGCGCATGAGGCGTTCGTGAGTACCTCTTTCTCAATGTCGATCTAGCTCGAACAGCGTTCCGCGGGCAGGATGCGACGGCGGAAGCCTCGCTGAGCGTGGCGTTCGCGCATCCCGAGACGCACAAGCTCTACGTCTACACGCTCGGCCGCGCCAAGGTGCTCGTCGTCCGGGATCACGCCATTGTCTTTGAGTCGTCGTCGGTCCTCCATGGCTTCCACACGTACGGCACTTGACAACTAGAAACTGATTGGACTTATTGGAGGCCAACTTGCTTCGTAGCCCTGCGCGCGTGCGTGCCGCGCCCGACGCCGGTCCGTTGATGGGACGCACCGAGGTGTTCCAGCTCGCGCCTCACGACAACGCACTGCTGTTGTCTGCGAGCATCGCAGACACTTTGTTCGCAGACGAAATTGCCGCCGCGTCGCCACGCGAGCTCGTACACCGGTGCACGCAGCGCACCATGTCGCTCATGCCCCACACGTCACCGTTGGCCACGCGAGCCGCGGCCATGTACGCGCAGCTCACGCAGCGCGACGAGGCAGCGTCGGTCCGTCCGCTCCTCGGGCGCGCCCACTACGTCGCACCGTTTGCCCCGATTGATTTATCGCAAATCCACGCGCTGGCGACAACGCCCCGCCTGCCAAACGACGTCGCTTGCATCGCGCTCACCGTTCCAGCCCCCGCGGCGCAGTAGTAAGCAACCTTCACATCCAAAATTTTGCCGTAAGATCTGTCATGAAGAGTGAGTTCTGTCGAATAAGTTCTGAGTGCAGTCACAAGAAGAGACTGCGCAGGGATCGTGGCACAAGTAGCCATCCTCGCTGCTAGTGCGTGTAGACCACAGGAATGTGCCACGGGCGACGAAGGCAGCTGCGTGGCGATGTGCCGCCGCAACGACACTCCACCCTTTCCTCAACGTCGATTCGCTTGTTGATGGAGTACCGACGGGTCCACATCGAATATTTGCTTGTCCTTACGCCTGAGGAGCTCGCCGTGGACCGTTCTCTTGTCCCTTGCAGCGTGAATATTTCGAGCCATTTAGTTGAATTTGACCATATTGCACTTTGGACAAGTGCAAACTCGCGTATCAACCAGGTGTAGACCCGTTGTGCAGCTACATGTGGCCCAGCGTCCGCGTCCCCGGGCTCCACGGACCCAGCTCACGGACCCCAACGCGCGGTGTCGACACAGCGTGGACTCTACAAAGAACCCGCGCGAAGAGTAGCCCATCATCGTCCTGGCCCTTGCGCCAGCTCCGAGCACTCGACTTTGCGATCAGTTGCTTGCCATTTACATCCAATCATCCTTAGCTATAAGCTGTGTACGCGATGTCATTGGCGGTGGGAACCGGCGATTAGCTGGTCTTTTGCAGGAGGACTGACGAGTCGAACGAGGGGTGACGTTCGCACGGCAATGGCCGCTATGTAATGCAGTGAGATTCCATTTGGCTAGAGAAAGCACTTGGCATCGCGCCAGCCGGTCGCGCGCCTGGCTTGTCGCGGGAGGGCGTCGACCACGTTTGTATGGCGCCCCAGTATACCCACTTGGGTCGGTTTGTCCCAGTATATCCCACCTCATATCCACATCCACATTTAGTGTGCGCCGCTTCGTCCACGTCGCGGGTCAATAGAACGGCGTCGAGCGAGCGATCGAGGTCATATACATGCAGTGCGATGGCCGTTGCGTGCGCCACCCAAGGAGCGTAACAGTACACGTCGAACGCAAGCTGCAGAGACAAGGGTGCTCCCACCGGTTTCTTCAACTGCAGGACAACCGTCGCTATCACTGTCGAGCCGAATTCACGCGATCATCGCCACTGTTTAGAGGACGAGGCAGCGGTAGCCTGCGACGACACCAAGCACCACGCACCTGCACGGCTCTCGTCGCACCTGCCCTCGTGGACAGTGCGGTGCGAGGCTGCGTCGCACGCTATTTCCGTGGAGTGGGACATACGGGACAAACCCAAGCTGCGTATCCGGACATTATCCGGATGCGCCCCCGATGCTCCGAGGTTCATTTTCGATTCTTGTCCACGGGAAGCAAGCGGCGATGGTCAAGTTTGGGAAGAAGCTGCTGCTCAACGTCAACCCCGAGTGGGAAGGGTACGTTGTCTACTGCATGGACCATGGCAGCGACGCATGACGATGGCGCCTTCCGTGGCGCGGGAAGAGCGTCGCTATGGAGCCCATCGCATGCGCTGCTGCTGGCCGAGGCGAAGGATAGGTAGCTCATGCAGCATGTAGGCAATACCTCGAGTACCGTCAGCTCAAGAAGAGCCTGAAGAAGCTCACGCTCCGCTCCAAGGACCCGAACGACCCGCTCTTCTCGCCCAAGTCGCAGGCCAAGATCGCCGAGTTTGGCGAGGCCGAGACGCGCAAGGAGCTCCAGCAAGAGTTTGAGAAGAAGCTCGACGCGGAAATCGAGAAGATCGTGCTCTTCTTCCTGGCCAAGCAAGGCGAGTTTGCACAGCGGCTTGCGACGTACCGCCAAGCGCAGCAGTCGCTCCAGTATGCGTCCGAGGCGCAGACCATCACGACCCTCGCCGACGGGTACCGCAAGATTGGCGAGGAGCTCGTGCATCTGCTGCACTACGTCGAACTCAACGCGACGGGTCTCCGCAAGATCCTCAAGAAACACGACAAGAACAACAAGGCGCACAAGATCACGGACAACTACATTAGCACACGCGTCGACGCCAACGTCTCGCACCTCCAGCAGCTCTACCACGACGAAGGTACTACGCCCTCCTCTTCAAGCTGTGGTTGCATGAGCTGACATGGAATCTACTTGTAGGTATCTCGGCCATCATTGCGACGATCCGTGTTGCGCTCAAGGACCTGCAGTCGCTCCAGGCCGAACTCGGCTTGCTTCCGTCGCCGCTCGGCGCGCCGACGCCCTCGTACAAGTCGTCGTCGACGACCATCGTCAAGATGGAGCGCTCGATCAGTGAGACCGAACCGATTCTCAACAAGATCTCGGTCGCCCGCCAGCGGTATGACAACCCGCTCAGCCTACCACAGTGTGTCTCATCGTCCGTAGGCTGCACCAGTCGACGCGGTACGCCAAGGCGATCGCCGCACAGTCGCTCATCTTCGACTCGGACCTCTCGGAGGACGAAGAAGAGGTCGTGTATTCGGCCTTCAAGGCGCAGAAGCCGTCCGAAATCTCGCGCTGGCTCAACATGATGAGCACGTTTCTGTATATGACCAACTACTACATCGTCGCGCCCACGGCCGGCGACTACGCCGAGCTCCTCGGCGGCTCGGCCGCGCTCAGCGGTATCGTTGTCGGTATGACGCCCGTCTCGTCGATGTTGTCAGCGGTCGTCTACTCGTGGTGGGCCAACAAGTCGTTCAAGTCGCCCTTGCTCTTCTCGACCGGCTGCCTCATCGTCGGCAACCTTCTCTACGCGCTCGCGTTGACCTACAACAGCTTTACGATGGTGCTTCTCGGTCGTGTTCTCAACGGTCTCGGTGGCGCCCGCTCCATCAATCGACGGTATCCACGCATCTTTGGATATATCCTGGATACTATCGTGATTACATTAGATACATTGCCGACAACTACTCGCGCGAAGAACGCACGATCGGGTCGGCTTTGTTTGTCACATACTCGGCGCTGGGCATGTCGGCCGGCCCGGCCACCGCCGCCGCCCTCGACTACCTCCCGGACATGAAGATCTTTGGCGCGCTCGTGACCATCGTAACGTCGCCCGGCTGGCTCATGTGCGGTACGTCCTTGCATTGATGCGACTATCCAGAGACTTACGGTGTTGGTGTAGCGGTCTGGACCATCTATTTCTTTGGTGTCCTCTTCCTCTTCATCGAGCCGGATCGCTCGGCGCGCGACAAGATCATGGCCGAACGCACGCGCTCGATGGTGGCCCTCGAGTCGGGGCGCACGAATTCGGCCTCGGAGTTTACGCCGCTGACGACGCGCGCGTCACTGAGCGCCGGCCCGTCGCTCGGGTCGCTCTGGAAGAACGTACCGGTGGTCACGACGCTGTGCATCTACGTCGTCCTCAAGCTCGTGCTCGAGATTCTCATCACGTCCGCGACGGGCATCGTCGACTGGTACTTCCATTGGGGCTCCACCTCGGCCGGTATCTTCCTCGCGTTCCTCGGCCTCCTCATGTTCCCGTCCAACCTCCTCGTCGGCTGGCTCAGCTACCGGTACCTCGACGGCGAGCTCATCTTGTACTCGGAGATCCTCATGCTCGTCGGTATCATTGGCATCATCGTCTGGGCCGCGACGTACACGGTGTACCAGTACATCTTTGGCGCGATCATGATCTACGTCTTCACGAACGTGCTCGAAGGCGTCAACATGAGCCTTCTCTCCAAGACGATTCCCAAGTCGTTTGCGCGCGGGACGTTCAACGCCGGTCTCCTCGCGACCGAGGCCGGGACGCTCGGGCGTGCGCTCGGCGACGGCGCCGTGAGTCTCGCCGGTCTCCATGGCATGGACCACCTCCTCAACGACACGTTCATCCCGATGGCCGTCGTGACGCTCATTATCATCTTCCATACGATCCGCGTCTACCCGCTCCTCGTCAAGAGCAGCTATTAACGACGAATCCAGAAGTACTGCATGTTGATTCGGCTTCGCCACGCCATGCAGGTGTCGCTCGTCGTCGCATATGGCTCAGCTACAGGATCCTGTATGTACAGCTTCGGTGGCGGCTCGCTCTAGCAGCGATTGCGGTGGCGTGGCAGCCTCGACCGACCGCAGGGACAGCGATCTCGCAGGTAGAGCAGCAACGATCAGGCCAAGCTCATGTGGCTCATGACCAGCATGGCTATCGCACGTGCCATCCATCTGCTTTGTGAGCGGTAGTCTCGTCGTGCAGGAAGGCCCTGGCATATGCGCCTGCTCGCTGCCGCCATGGCCGACGGCCTCATCACTTCCACGTCCAGAGCCGACACCATGCATCCATGATCATAGAGAGAGCAACATGCCATCAAGCGGGTCCCATCATCCTTGTCGCCAGCATCGTCGGCTTGGCTCAGGCTTGGCTGGATCACTTGGCACACTGGCTAAGTGCAACGTTGCAGATAGCGTGCACCAGATGGGGATTGGTCAAAATTGGCTGGGATGGAAATGCCAAGGATTTTGGCCAATCCACAGTGAGTATTTGGAAACAGTGCCCGCGGATTGGTTCGATTTGAATTTTCAAATCCCAAATTCAAAGAATTAGGGCACAAGTGGATTTTGGATGACGACGGACGACCGGACCGCCATCGCGCCCGCGCCGACCGAGCGCCTCATGGAGGCAGCGCGTGAGGAAGACATGCACATGGACGAAGCTCTAGTGATGGAGTCTGCGCCTGAAGATGAAGCCGTCGAGGATGACGCCACCAGCAAAGACCCCAAGGGCGTCGGCCAAGGCGAAGCACATGACGCCGAGGAAGAGCCGATGCGTGAGAAAGAGCCCCGCGAAGACGACGAAGCGCCATATATGAACGTCAACAACGTCGAGGAGGCCGTCAACGAAGCCCCGGTCGTGGTTGAAGAGGAGAGCGCTGTCACCCTGGCGACCGACGAGACTGCCGCTTCTGAGCTTGAAGCGCCTGCCCACGAGGAGATCCTCCATGATGTCGCTGTCGGGACCGAGCCCGAGGCGCCGGAAGCTCTCATGACACCTGCCAAGACCAACCTGGTGGCCTCAGACGCCTCGGTCGACGCAGTGTACACGACGCCGCAAGCCAAGGGTGCGTTCAGCGGGGACATTTCGTTTGACGGTCCGAGCCACTTTGATCTGAACACGCCGAGCGCAGACGCCAAGTACCTTCGTGGCGAGGACGCCAAGACGGCCTTTGTCAAGACGCCGTACAAGCCGGCGAACGCCAAGCTCAGCTACACGTCGCTGGAGCTCCAAGCCATCAAAGCGCGCCGCGCCGAGCTCGAAAAGGAAAAGCTTCGCAATGAAAAGTACCGACTTGTCGCGCAGAAGCAGTCGACGCACCAAATGGTCGAGCGATCCACCAAGCCGCTGACGCTGCCGATCACGCCCGAGCTGCTCAGCACCAAGCGCGGTGCGTTGCGCTGCGTTGGTCACGACGCAACCCACCCGTGCACGCCCGAGTGCGACCGCAAGGCCGCCTTCTTGACCGCCGAGGAGCTTGTCGCGCGCCCCGACCGCGTAACTGGCATCCCACATTCCAAGCCCTTGCGCCGAACGTCGGCGCACTCGCCGTTCCTGCAGACTGCGACCCGCGCCCGTCGCAGCGACGTCACCGAGGCCGAAACCACCAACAACGGGCCGATCTCGGCCGCCGATCTCGTGTGCCGCAAGCCCCGCGCTGCGTCGCCAGCCCGGACGTTCAAGCGCACGGTACCCGCGTCGCCCTTCCTAGAGACCAAGCACCGCGCCAAGAAGCCGCGCTTTGACGACAAGGAGAACATGGACCCGTCGACGCCCGTGGTCACGGCGGAAGCGCTCGTGGCGCGCCCACTGCACACCAAAATGCCACACGACGTAGCCAAGAAGACAATTACGATCGCGGCCGCGCCCCACCTCATGACGATGGAGCGAGCGACGATGCAAGCGACGTACCGCAAGGCGGTGCCACAAGTCGACGAAGACGCGATCGAGCTTGCCAAGCAGTTTCACGCGTCGCCAGTACCAACGTCTTTGCATAAACCAAGCACGCTCAAGAAGACGCGCCGGTCGCCGCTATCGACGGTGCAAGCCAAGACGCCGCCGCTCAAGTCGCTCGAGCGCCACCGCAAGTACAAGGCGGATTTCGAAGCGCGTCAACAGAAGCAGCTCGAGGACGATGACGCCAAGCGCGTCTTCAAGGCGCAGCCAATGCCGATCGTCACGGGCACCACGCTTGTCGTCAAGTCCAAGACGCCGCTGACAGTTGCCGCGCCGTTCCAGTGCCCCGGCGACGTCTTCCACGAGCGCCATCTCGAGCACATGCAGGTCCTCCGCGAAAAGGCCGAAGACGACTTGCGCAACCAGATGCGCGTCAAGGCGACGCCGATCATGCTCTCGACGCACGTCGTCGGCGTCGCGCCATCGACCAAGCCCTTGACCGAGGCCAAGAGCCCGTCGCTGGCGCTCAAGCGGCGCATGGTCGACCGTGCGGCGTACGACCGCAAGGAGCAGGAGCGCCGCCAGCAAGACGAGGAAGCCCGCCTGGTGCTGGCAAAGGAAGCGGCGCGCAAGGAGCAACTCGAGCTCAAGGCGTACCGCAAGAACGAGCTCACGTTTCGCGCGCTCAAGCGGCGAAGGACCAAGGCGCTGGAGTAGGAGATGTCAGTTAATTACATGTAAAAGTCGAGGAGGAATTTCTTGTAGATGGTCATGAACTTGGCGAGGAACGCTTCGAGGTGGAAGATGGCCTTCTGGCCGCACTGGAGGCGGTGCTCCTACATGGAGGGTAAGGAGATGAGGAGGTGGAGATGGACGGACGTAGTAGGCGGCGTAGTGGGCGAGCTCGTGCTTGAGGTCGTCGTCGAGGCGACACGTGAGCTCGCGAAGCAGGACCTTGAGGATGATGTCGGACGGAATGCAGTTGGAGAGGAGCTCGTAGAGTTTGTCGCGGGCCTTGAGGAGACTCCCGGGGCTCTGTTCCTGGAGCACGTCCTTGGCGAGACCGGCAATGTACTCTTCCCACTCGGGCAGCGGGATCGGTTGGTCGGGCATGAACGGGTAGCTAGTAGACACGCATGAGCATGGGACGGTATGGCACCTCTCGTACGTTTGGACGCGGCAGGTCTCGAGCATGAGCAACGCGCGGCGCAGGTTGCGCTCGGATTTTTTCGCAATCTCCATGGCCAAGGGCGCGCAGAACGTGAGGTTCTCCTTGACGCAGACCTTTTGCAGGACGCTGACAATCTACTGCACCATAAGACGATGGAAGATGATGCAGTAGTACCTCGTCGTGCGTCGGCGCGCCGATGCGGATGCCAAGGCAACGCGAGCGCAGCGGGTCAATGACCTTGGACGGGCTGTTGCAGCAGAGGATGAGGCGACACGAACCCGTGTACTTTTCCATCGTACGACGCAGCGCGTGCTGCGCGGCCTTGGAGAGCTGGTCGACTTCGACGAGGACGACGACCTTGAACTGCTTTTGCGCGTTCGTGTCGGCCAAGCGGTACATGGCGATTTCCTTGATGACCTCTTGGACCACGAGCCGGTCGTCGTTGCCAACGTCGGATGGGTTCATCTCAATGTGGTAGTTGGAGGCGACCGTCGTGATCTCGACCTTCTTGGACTGCGTCGGGTGCTTGAACGTCTTGTGCTCGAGGCGCGTCTTGAGCGCGTTCGGGCCATAGAGCTCCTTGAGGAGCGCCATGACGCGAGTCTTCTTGCCCGCGCCCGAGGGCCCATAGATGAGCAGATGGGGCAGCTCTTCCGAGGCCGCTAGGCGCTTGAGGCGGTCGCTGATCGGCGCATGGAAGTCCAGGCGGTCGAGGCTCGTCGGGCGGTGCGCGTCGACCCACAGCATCAAGCCACTTGTGGGGTCCGAGGAAAAATCGAAATTGGCGCGCAGCTTGTCCAAAACACGTGTCTTTTTATTCCAACGCGCGAATTATGCATACAAAACCACAGTACACCATCACGAAAGTATTTAAATATTTATTTTATTACGTGGATCGAACCATTGTATTTTAATCGGCTGGAAACCCCAGACGATGGAGTACGACGGCTCGCTGCTGCTCATGCTCCCGAGCTTCCGGCGCTGCCTCGAAGACGATGCTCTGCATGCGATGGAGACGGCCTATGGCATGCGCCGGCCAGACCCGGTAGCCCATGCGCCCACCGCGCCAACGACGACGACCTCCAAGCACCTCGCGCGCTACACGTCCTGGAAGCTCGACCCGACCAAGATCGACGCGCTCGTCCAGGCCGAGACGAAGGGCGTGGCCGCGCTGGCCCGCGTGACGTCGACGCATTGCGAGCCCGATGGTCGCGCCATGGAGCTCGAGTTCTACGCGTCGGGCAAGCGTGGCATGCTCTTCGTCAACAAGCTTCGGACGGCCTTGGTCAAGGTGCAGAAGCTCGACGGGCATGGGATCGAGGTCATTGAGAAGGAGACCAAGTGGCTTCGCATCGTTAACCGCATCTCGATGGGGCCGCGCCTTCTTGGCGCCGGCGACGGGTACTTTATGTGCGAATTCCTCGCCGACGGCGTCGACGCTGTCGCCTTTCTCCAGGCCCCATCGACGTCGCGTGGCGACGCACTCTGGTTTCTCCGCAGCGTCTTGTACCAAGTGCGCTGCAGAATTGCCGCTTGCAGTACCTTGCACCTCACATCGTCCTTCCTAGTGCTACGCCCTCGACCGGCTCGGCATCAACAAGGCCGAGATGAGCCACCCAATGCGCCACATCATCGTCGTCGGTGCTCGAGTCGTCTTTGTCGACTTCGAGAAATGCACGTACGGCCGACAGCGCCGGAACGTCACCCAAGTCTGCCAGGTAGCCGTAGTCCATGCTGCTTGATGATGACGACGACGACTAGTTCCTGTCCTCGCCCCGTATCGTGGCAGCGGTCATGGCCAAAGGCCACAGCTTTGCGCTCGACAAGGTGCGTGCAGCGACCAAGGCGTACAAGGCCAACCCGCACTCGGCGACGCTGGCCGCCATCTTGCACGCGCTGCATCTCGCATGAGCCGCCGCTTTGCGCTACTTGATGTCCATCAGCCCTGGCTTCCGCCGCTACGATGCGAGCTCCATGTCGTCTCGAGCCCATCATGCGGACTGCCGGCAGCAACGACGCCACGGTCATACCATGGGCATAGGATAAGGTCCGTGAAGGGCCTGCGATAGCACGTAGGGATTGTAGTCTTGTACATTGCTAGTCGCATGAGCCGACTGCAGGCCCATTGCTCACGCGCCAGCGCTGCTTGGCCCGGTCGCATCGGGCGAGCTGGGAGGATCCCTTAATGGCGCCTTTTGATTCGCCGAAATCGTCAGATATTTGTCCAATCCGGAGGCGTCCCTTTCGAAGCAGATCCCATTTCGCATTTGTGTCCGTACGATAGCAGCATGTTTCCGGCTTTTGGCACGACGGGCGGCGCGCGGGTAGGCGGCGAGGAAGGCCATGAGCATGGCCTTAGCCCGTCATGTAGGCGTCCTTGGTGGAGTTCAACGCTGGCAAGATGACGGCGACGCCCAAGGAGGCCGGCAGCACCAAGCTCGTCGTGACGCCCGACCTCCAGAAGGGCAAGATCCTCCTCGTCCGCGAAGACGACCAGCTGCTCCACTTCAAGTGGAAGAACCGCACGACGGGCGTCGTCGCTGATGTAGAGCCCACGCTTGCCGCCTTCTCGGATGGCTCATGGTGGGCGAACTAGGACTTTATCATCTTTCCCAACGACGCCTCGTTTCAGAAGGTCGACACGGGCCGCGCCGACGACCGTGTCTACGTCCTTCAGTACAAGGGCTCGCCGCGGCGATTCCTCTTCTGGATGCAGGTCAGATTCCCATAGGCATGTCGTCGCTCACGCAAGCTGGATCGTAGAACAAGGACAGCTCGAAGGATGCCGAGCAAGCCAAAAAGGTGGACGAGCTCATGAACACGGCGCAGACGGCGGCGCCGGCGTCGGGCGCCTCGCGCCGTGGCAATGCCAATGGCAGTGACCCGAACGCGCCTCTGGACCACAACGCCATCATGCAAATGCTCGGGTACCCTACTTCGTGTTGCACATGTGCCCTCAATGGTGGTCATGGTAGGGCGATTAGCAACGGCGCGGGCGATGGCGCGGGCTCGAGCACGGTGCAGATGGCCGAACTCCAGCAGATCTTGCAGCACATGGGGATGCCGCCGGGCAGCAGCACGGGCGCGAGTGCCAACCCTTGTACGATGCAATATGGGCTATGAACCATACGATGGCTCATGATGATGCTTGTGTAGCGACCGCGTCGGCCGTGACGTCGCCTGCGCCGTCGGCCGTCCCGACATCGCCCCACGAAGACGAGGACGACGAAGACGACGAAGACGTCAACATGGAGGACATGACGGAGGAAGAGCTTTTGCGCTTGGCGATCGAAGAGAGCATGCGCGACGTCCAGGACGACGCGGCCCACGATACCGAAGGTCCGCAGTCGCCCTAGCCGATAACACTCGAAATCGATTTCCCTTTCTCAACCATTCTTGATCTGTAGTGTCGCCCTCAGCCCCTGTCCCTGCACCGACCACCGTCCCGACGCCGGCCGCCCCGTCGATCCAGCTGGCCGACCTGCAGCGCGCAATGGCCGCCGCCCTCAACGTAGATGGGAAGATCCAAAACACCACCAACGTACGCTGTATGGCTAGGTGCAACAAGCACCGACGCGCCCTGTGTCGATCACGGCGCTTCTGCAGCAGGCGGCGGTCACTGCGCTGCTTCAGGACGCTCAGGTGCAGGCGGCGCTGCTGCCACTGCTGCCCGAGACGCTGCAGAACCCGCACGAGCTGCTCTCGACGACGCGGACGCCGCAGCTGCGGCAGTGCGTCGGCGCGCTCAGCCACGCGCTCAACTCGTCCAACTTTAACGGGATTCTGAGCAACTTTGGCTTGAACGCCAACGCCGGGCACGCGCAGCTCATGCGCGGCGACGGTACGCGCATGTCGAGGACGACGAGGACTCATGATGGCGGCTGCAGGTATCGGCGCCTTCCTAGCGGCAGTCCAAGCGTGGGGCGACGCCAACAAGACCGACTAAACGTTCCTGGCATGCGGCATAAGTCGACAATAAGACAACATGGGTTCTATGCATAGTATGACGATTTACTCTTCCTTCTTGATGTCGCCAAACTGCTGCTTGATCTCGGCATCGTAGATGGCTTGGGGCTTCTCCTGCGAGAAGAGGTCGTGGCCCCGGCGCGTCTCTAGTCGAGCAACCGTTGGCACGAGAGAGGAGGAAGAGAAGGCGAACGTACTGTAGACCATGGGCGCGGCGCAGATGCCAAGGCCGAGGACGACGCCGACGAAGACCTTGCCGCCCTCGCGGATCGGAAGCGCGTTCAGGGCACGGTCAATCATGGTGGCAGTCGGGCGAGTTGGGGAATGCGAAGCTTCCTGGCGTCCCTGGATATGCGCAAGGCCATTGGCTGAAATAGCTCGCGCATAATATGAAGGGATACCTTGATATTTGTATGCTTCTGTTGTTTTTTCATTGTATGACGCAAGACATCGATTGTGATTGGCTGATTTCAAGCGTGATGCCATCCAGGATTGGCTGTCTTGGATGTGGCAGATGCCGCCATTTCTTGGCAGGCCATTGCGTCAACCAGCGCCTGCGCCTTTGCGTCGGCAAGCACCTCGGAGGGCCCGACTGTGGGCAGCGATATAAAGATCATTCCTGGCAATAGCCTGAGCGTATTTGAGCCAAGTACTTGCGACATATAGATGAGCTGGGATGACAGTTGCAGCCGTATCTATGCAACCATTATAGTGAGCCGAAGTCTGGCGAAGCCGCTCCCAACGTTGCGCTCCTTCGTCCATGCAAGCAAAGTAAGATGCGACCACAAGGGTATATTGCAGGATGTATACATCTGCCATAGTATCACGCTTGTCCCACTCAATGGCCGTGCTGCCGTTCGTCAGCGCGAGACGACGACGTTCGAGGTGCCACGCCATCGTCCATGTGCCGAATTTAACAATGTGCGATTTGATTGGGCGATGGTCGACACGCTGGACGTGCATTGGCGGACCCTGTTTCCTACCTTTGGATTGGCCAAAACGATTCAAATTAATATAATAGACGCAATAATCATTACTTGATGTTGGTATCGCAAATAAAACAATGATTAATAACGCGAGGCCATTGGCTAAAACAAATACGATGGCGCGATGCCATTGGCAATAATCCAAGGCCCATCGACGCCAAGCGTTTGGCTGCCATTCCAGAACCATGCTGCGCTCGATCATCTCGCGGAGCTTCTCGACGGCCGTGCCACAGTTCAGCGGGAAGCTCAAGCACCCGGCGAAGCGCGCTGCGCACCTCATGCAGCAGCTCAACGAAGAGGAGGTCGCCAAGAGCTTTGCCCGCAACCACCTCGGCAAGTTCAAGCCCGGCGACGCCGTCGAGGTCGAGATGCTCCTCAACAAGACGACGACCAAGATCCAGCGCGTCAAGGGCGTCGTCATCGGCGAGCGCAACCGCGGCCTCTCGAGCTCCTTCATCATCCGCAACCACATCGCCGAGTGCGGCTACGAGCAAAAGATCTTTATCCACTCGCCGCTCCTGCACTCCGTCAAGGTGCTCAAGGAGAAGTTCATCTCGAACGGCAAGAAGAAGGTCCGGCGCGCCAAGCTCTACTACCTCCGCGACAAGGCCCCGCGCTTCACGACCGTGTAAGCAGGATGTAATAGAGAACAAGACGACGACGTAGCATCCCTCCTCTCCATCGACGACCGACTGCAGGCGACGCGACACGGACAAGACACGGACAGGGCACAAACTGGACACAGACGTGGTTCTTTAGTGCAGGAGGCAAGGTAATCGAAGCGTGCGAGTATCTAGCGGCGCTTGCGGGCGGCGGCCTTGCGCTCCATGGCTGACGGGCCCGTGACAACGCGGCCCTTGGCCTCGACGGGCGCCACCTTCTTGGCGGCCGCGCGCGCTGCGGCGTCGAGCTTGGCCGCGTCCTTCTGCGAGCCCATGCCCGAGCCCTGCGCGCCGACAAACTTGTTGCGGTTGCGCCGGTTGCCGCGCGACCGCTGCTTGCGCGGGATCCAGCGCTCGGGGTCGGGCTTGAGGAGCGGGATGAGCGGGTTGTAGTCGGGCTTGGCCTTGAGCGCCTCAATGTGCTTGGCGCGGCGCGCCGCCCGCTTGCGCGCGATGCGCTCCGGGTTGTCGGCCGCGCGCTTCTTGCTCGTCGGCGCCGCCGGGATCGCCGTCGCCCGCTTGTGCGACCGCGCCTTGATGAGCGCCTCGGGGTCCGTCGACGCGGCCGCGATGGTCGGGAGGAGGCTGCTGCGGGCCTCGGCCGCCGACGCGTCCACAAACGACCTATGATCGCATCAGGCGTCCACCGTAACCGCGGAGGAAGCGTACAAGGCGACGACGAGCTTGGCGAGGCAGCGGAGGCGCATCTCAGGCGTGAGCGCGCCCGTCGAGAGGAGGCTCTCGAAGCGCGTGGCCGCTGCCGCGTAGTTGCCCTGCGCCAGCTGATACGCGCCATCGCCTTCCTAGACCCAGCGATAGGCCAACAAGTATCAATGTATCGAGCTTCAACCTCGATCGCACGCGCTTCCAATGACGTGGCATCGCGGGCTGCATGGAACGCAAGCGCATCGTGGAGCACGCTTTGGCTGGCGCCCGCGTTGCCCGCGCGGTCGTAGAGCGCAACGAGCGTGGCCACCGTGCCTACGTCGGCGCGTCACCAATGGATATCGCTCGGCTTGTGTACCGGCGCTGTGGGCGATCTCGGCGATCGAGCGCAGCGTGTCGGCCGCGACCCCAAACTCCTTCAAGAGGACGAGGACATGGGCGAGGCAGAGCCGGCCGTTGATACTCGCATCCGCCTGAGATATATCAGATCTGGTATTGGCACGGCCGAGGTATTACCTCGAACGTCGCGCGGGCGCGGGCGAGCGCCTCCGACGACGGCGCAGACTCGCTTGAGCCCAGCACTGCGTGGAGCTGGATGGGCGCGGCGAGCGCCGTGGCCGGGAACGCCGTCTTGAGCGCGGCAAGCACCTCGCGCGTCTCGTCCGGCTAACGTCATCGTCATAAGAGCGGCGACCAAGTAGATACCTTTTTCATCCAAGACCAGAGCAGCGCGAGGTTGGCGAGGACCGCTTCGTGCTGCGCGGGCGAGCACTTGGTCGTCAGCGTCTCGCTCGAAATGGCCTTGAGCCGCTTGATCGAGTCGAAGAGGTCGTGGTGCTTTTGCAGCGTCGCAAGGTTGTTGCTGGCGACGGCCACGAGAGTCGCGTCCGACGGCCTGCAGCGACATGAGATTCAAAGTAGATGGATGGGGACGTACTTGGCCTGGATGACGTGGGTGTAGCCGGCGAGCGCGTCGTCGTCGCGTCCCTGGAGCTGGAGCACGTAGGCACGCTGAACGGCGACGACGAGCGCCTCCTGCTCAATCTCGGCCGGCGAGCACCCGTCGTTGGCGAGCGTCAACCGGCACAGACCTACGAGGGGTTACTGGACAGGTCGAGGATGGGGAGGCGTACGGTCGGCGTCGGCAACGTGGGCGGCCGCCGTCGATACGTCGCCGCTCTGCAGCGCCACGAACGACTTGTTGAACGCAATCTCGTAGCTGTCGTCGGTCGTCAAGCTGTGGCGGCCCGCGAGCTCGGCGCCGCGACCGGCAGCCGTGTAGGCCGCGATCAAGTTGGTTTTGAGCTCGACCGTATCGTCCGACGGCGCCGCTTGCGCAAGAAGCGCCTCGTAGATCGAGATGACGGCGTCAAACTGGTTGAGGCGGTAGTGCTACGCAAGCGATAAGAGCGTTGTGGCGAGAGATCGATTCGTCGTACCGCCTGCGCTTGCAAGTGCAAGACCGCCGGCGTCTTCTCGGGCACCGTCGCAAGGATCTCCAGCGTCTTGGTCTCCTACGCCCACGCGTCAGCAACGCGTTGTCCATCATCTTGCATCCTACGCGCTTGAGCTTGTAGTGGCAGTAGGCCGCTTCCATCTTGAGGTAGTCGAAGCGCTGTGCCACCTCCAGCGCCTTGTCCAGCTATATGGTCGAAAGCGTGAGCGCAGCCATGCAGCGGTGGCGACCATACCTTGTTCAAGCGGATGAGCGCAATCGTTTTGGCCTTGTACGCCGCCGCCTCATTGGGCGTTGCCGCCACGACTACGTAGGAGCGCATGAGACGCCATGGCCAGAGACGCATGCGGCCGTACTCTTGTTGCAGACGTCAATGGCCTTCTGGTACGCATCGCGCTCCAAGTGGCCTTGCAGCTCGGCGAGGAGGTCCACGCTAGTCGTCGCCATCAAATCGGTAAAATGAAGTTTCTCTCTACAACCCGATATTCAAAATATGCATTGTCAGAGGTATGCCACGTCAGACTTATAATCGGCACATGCCTGATTTAAATTAAAATAGGCACCCGCGCGGCATTAAAAACGGCATATACCGTTTATAATATTAAAATCGGCAAATGTTCACTCTTGTCCGTGTATTCACGACAACTATGTGCACATACATATATATATATACATTGATGGGTAGTTTATGTCTCCATGTAGGGTGTATAAAGGGAGCCTACGTCTCGTCACTTTGCCTTGAAGAGCGACGTCTCCATTTGCTGCCGAACGCGCTTGAGACCGCGGACCCACTGGCTCATTTCAGCCTCCGAGGCGCCTTCGTCGTCAAAGAGCACAAAGGACATCCAGCGAGGGAGACGGAGGCAGCGGAAGAGCAGGCCCAGTGGCAGCGACAAGGCGCCGATGAAGATGCAGTAGCCCCACTGCGCGCCGTTGAGCGGGAGGCATTTGAACGGGACGCCGCCAAACTGCACAATGAGCACTTGAAAGAACACTTGGACGACCGAGATGCCGCAGAAGAGAGCGTTGTCGAGGAGACCGACAAAGATGTTGACTTCGTCGTTGATTTTGCGGCAGTTGAGCTCGTTGAAGAGCTGCATGAACACAAAGGTGTTGAAGAGCATCGTAAAGTGAATCGAGCGCTTGTCCGAGCCCTGGATGTCGTCCCGACGCCCGGAGGGCACATCGAAGATGACTTCGCCCTGGAAGAGCATGATGAGCAGCACGATGAGCTGGAAGAGGCCCTGGCACACAATGTGCTTGACCATCAAGCGACTCAGAAGCGGCTTTGTCCGCGAGTACGGCCGGCGTTCGAGGAGCGCGGCCGTCGGTGGTTCGGTCGCGAGCGCTAGCGACGCAAATGTGTCCATGATCAAGTTGACCCAGAGCAGCTGGATCGCACTCAGCGGCGACTCTTCGAGAATGAGCGCACCGAGCACCGCGAGCATGACCGCGACAAAGTTGACGGTGATTTGGAACTGGAGAAACTTGGCGATCGAGTCGTAGACGTTGCGGCCCCACTTGACGGCGTTGACGATCGAGGTGAAGTTGTCGTCCATCAAGATAATGTCGCACGCATCTTTGGCGACCGCCGTGCCGCAGATCCCCATGGCGAAGCCCACATTCGCCTTTTTGAGCGCCGGTGCGTCGTTCGTGCCGTCGCCCGTGACGGCGATGACCTGCGGCCCGTACGGCATGAGCTTGGTCTGCTTGAGACCCGTCACGAGCGTGTACTTGTCCTTGGGCGAAGAGCGCGCAAGGACGCGGAGGTGCGGCCAGATCTTATCAAACTCGGACTGGATGATCTTGCCGTTGCTGTCGAGGACGCGCTTCCGGAACTCGGAGCCCTCCATTGTGAGCGCGTTGTCGCCAGCCTTGAGAATCCCGCACTTGCCCGCGATCGAGCGCGCCGTCATGATGTTGTCGCCGGTCACCATGCGCACGATGATGCCGGCGCGGTGGCAGAGCCGGATGGCCTCGGGCACCTCGGGGCGCACCGGGTCTTCGATGCCGACGATCGCAATGCATGTAAGGTCCGTCTCAATGTCGTCATCGGACCACGTCTTGACTTGGTCGCAAGAGATGTCGAGGTCCCGGATCGCAAGGCAAAGGGTGCGGTACCCTTGGCTTGCGTACTTGTCGATGATCTTCTCGCCAATCTCTTCTTTATCGGCGGCCGAGAGCTCAGCGACGCTGCCGTCGAGACGCTTCATCTTACTGCACAGACCCAAGACTACTTCGGTCGCACCCTTGCAAAAGACTCGCGCGTTGACACCTAACCGCGATCGTTGTGTCGGACACATGGCCATACGTTTAGCGCGTACCTCGCTTGGCGACGACACTCATGCGCTTCTTCTTGCTGCTGAACGTGAGCATATGCTGAATGGGCTGCTCCTTGCGGACGTTGCTGTAGTCGATGCCGAGCTCCTTGCAAAAGGTGAGAAGCGCGCACTCGGTCTTGTTGCCCGTGTGCTCGAACGGCTGCCCCGGCACTAGAGATTCCGAGTCATGAGCTACCGCCATCTTGCAAGAGTGTCACGTTTGGGCGGAAGGATCTCAGCGGTCGAGTTGAGGCAAATGCTGTGGCTGAACGCCTCCTTCATCGAATCCGAGATCTCGCCAAGGAGCTGCGTCGCGGCCGAGTACTCGCGCCCGCCGAGCCAACACTGCATGACCGTCATGCGGTTTGTTGTCAACGTGCCCGTCTTGTCCGAGCAAATGGTGGTCGCCGAGCCCATGGTCTCACACGCGTCCAAGTGCCGGACGAGGTTGTTGTCCTTGAGCATCTTCTTGACCGAGAAGGCGAGCGAGATCGTCACTGCCAGCGGAAGGCCCTCGGGGATCGCGACGACGAGCACCGTGATCGCCGTGATGAAGAACCCGAGGTACGTCGAGTAGTACTTGGTGTCCCACGAATTACTTTCGTGGACAAACGTCTCGATCGAGAAGCGGACGGCCATCGCCAGGAAAACAATGACCGCCATGGTCGTGCCGGCCTTCCCAATGGCCACCGTGAGGCTGTTGAGCTTGCCCTGAAGCGGGCTCTCTTCTTCCGCCTCATACACTTCGTCGTCGTCGCTCTTTGGTTTGGCCGGCGCCACCTTGCAGTTGTCGTCGCGCGGGCCGTTCTTCTTGGCTTCGTCCTTCTTACCGGCTTCGCCCTTGCCCGCGACAAGCGTCGAGATGATACCGCTCTGGCTATGCGCCCCGACGCACGTGACGAGCATCTTCCCGACGCCTTCCATCACGCGCGTGCCACTGAACATGGCCGCCATCCCCGTGCGAGTCTTCTTCATGAGGTCGGTCTCGCCCGTCATGGCCGACTCGTCGATCTTGAGGTCGCTCTCATCAAAGACGAGGCCGTCCGCGGGCAAAATATCACCGAGGTCAACGCGCAAGATGTCGCCGACAACAAGCTTGAACTTGGAGACTTCGGCGGGTACGCCGTTGCGAATGACCTTGATCTTCTCGTCTTCCTTGATTGCGTTGAGGGCCGCGAATTGCTTCTCCTTCTGGTAGTCATTGACAGCCGAGACCGTAATAACGAGAAAGACAGCGCCAAGAATCGAAGCTCCTTCGATCCAGTCGGCCCCGCTACCGCCTTCGTGCGGCACGGCAAACCCCAGGATGATCGAGATGGTGCCCGAAATGGTCAGTACAATGATCGTCGAGTCGTGAAAGGCTTCCCACATGAGCTCAAGAATCGATGCGGACTTTTCGGGCTCGATGTAGTTGCGACCAAACACATCCTCGCGCGCCTGCAGGTCCTGCGCATTGTTGCTATCGAGACCCGCGACCAAGGACGACTTGAGCGTGGCTGCGACGCCTTCGATGCCTCCGAGCGTTGCGAGGTGGTCGCCAAAGTGCTCCTTCGGCGTCTCGATGAGCTTGACGAGGTCCTGCGTCGTCGTGGCGAAGCCGCCGCCGCCCGTGGTGTGGATCATACCGGGAAAAGCCGCGAATGAACCGTCGCCGATTCAGGCAACCCCCGCTCGATACAAACTTCAAGATACAATCTATTTATAGCGAGTGGTCGGGTTAGACTTGAACAAAGTATCCACTCACAAACCCCAAGTCAACATATACCGGCAGCCGGCACATATTGCCGACAGAAACTGCCAGTCGGCTATAAATATCAGCACACGGAACCGCAAAAATAAACCCAGTACTAGTAACCTCCAACTTGCGTGCAATACGGCGGCGCCATCTTGATCGACGGGCCACCAAAACGGTACACTGCCAATATGAAGTCATCTCAGTCGGCGATCTTAGAGCCATTATGGCCGACAACTTTGGCGCGATCCTGTGACAACCTGCCGGTCAACCCAGCTCGCTCTCGATGCGTATGTGCGTCGGGGTACATAAGGGTCGTATACAGATAAGGCAATTAAGAAGTGTCTATAGAATCGTGCAGTGGCTGCGCTTCTTCTTCGGGTTCTTCTGGTGCTGCAGGACGCAGCGGATGCTTTCGTCAAACACCTGCTTGAGGCCCTTCTGCGTGAGCGCCGAGCACTCGAGGTACTTGAACGCGCCGAGCTCGTTCTTGAGCGCCTCGCCCATCTCGTGCGTGACGGGCGCCGACCGCTTCTCTTTCAGGCGCTCGACCGTGTCTTCGTCTTCGCGCAAGTCGAGCTTGGTGCCAACGAGGATGAAGGGCACGCCGGGCGCGTGGTGCTGGATCTCCGGGTACCATTTCGCCTTGACGTTCTCGAACGAGGCCGGGCTCACGACGCTAAAGCAGATAAGGAACACGTCGGTCTGCGGGTAGCTCAATGGCCGCAGCCGGTCGTAGTCTTCCTGGCCGGCCGTGTCCCAGAGACCGAGGTTCACGGGCTTGGCGTCGACCATGACGTTGGCGCTGTAGTTGTCAAAGACGGTCGGGATGTACTCGCCCGGGAACGCGTTCGTCGTGTACGAGATGAGCACGCACGTCTTCCCGACGGCGCCGTCGCCGACGACCACGCACTTCATATTCTGCATGTTCATCTTCGTCTCGACCGTCGAAATGCAAACTGCCACCAAACGGCAAGATCGCTAAAAATACCCACATATTCATATTTATTATAATATTGAACCGCGCTTCTTTATCCGGACTCATACCCTTACACGCACGGCCGCGCCCTTCAACAAGACGCCCCTCGCACTCGACGACAACGTACCCGTAGGCGCCACGAAGCGATAGCGTGCTGCTTGCGTACACGCGTTGGTGTGCCGGCGTGCTGGTATCGAAACGATATATTGCTGCGCAATCGCATATTGCATGGCCACGCGAATATATATTGCGCTGTGCCGGATACGGACCCATATTTATAGCCGCCGCCATCGCTCAAAGGCCTGAAGAAAGGACTTGGGCGAACGTTCGTGCGAGATCGGTTTGGTGCTGGAAGAGTACAGTGTGCAACGTCGAACCTGCTACAGCGGACTCGCACCTGGCACCAACGCTGGCGACTGTGTGAAAGACACCATTTCTGAACTTTTTTTCCGGTGCGGTGGATACCTGACATATCGACTTTGTCGGTTGATCGCTCAGAGATAGTGTGAAATCAAACGAGCAAGAACCAATAAATAGACTTCAGGTCTGCTTGGTGCAAGAGAATCAAGCACTGCTACTAGTGTAGTAATAGTATCCCTTGACGTGGTGCGAAGCCAGCGCTGGTCCTTGGAGGAAGCCGCAGAATATCACGGGTAAACATGCAAGGTCCTTCATTCTGAGGGGTCCGCCTCATGGCGTACTCCACGCGCCGAGCACCAAAAGTAGTCTGAGGTTGGCTCGGACATAGCACTCTCCACACTTCGGCTCGAGACGTCGAGCCGACTCCAAAAGCCAATATAATAATGGCTCAGGCTCCATTTTTTAAGTCGGTGAACCGTGAAGAGTGGATGTCGGACCCAACCGAGGAACTTCACAGCCGTCCGTTCAGCATCAAACGAAACCGTTCGCGCATCCGAACGCATCCGGATACGCGGACACGCAGACAAGAACGATCCAAGAAATTACAAATTTTATATACACTGCACAAGATGTCTACGCTTTGGCGCCAATATCGTCACCGTTGATCGGCTCTTCCATCTGGCTCACAAATGACTTGCGCACGTCGTCGTCTTCCATGGCGAGCTTGGCCTTGAAGTCGTTGTCCATGACGCTCGCCTCGTCATTGTTGTCAAACATGCAAAAGACCGTCAGCAAAATCGTGAGCACCGAGATGCCCGCAAACGTAAACCACGTGCCGACGTAGCCAAAGCTCGGGTTGTCG